TGTTGTTTCATAAAATTAGCATATACTGAATTGATTATTAAACATTGGAAACCATGTTAGAACCGTAATTGCTATAATTTTTATTATAAAATATAGAATTTTTTCATTTTACGATAGTGGAAATTACAATTTTACAATAGAATTAAAATTGTGTTTTTGCATTAAAATACTATTGTAATTTTTAAATATTTTTTCGATATCTAATATATATTACACTTTATTAAGATAAATACTTGCCTGTATCAGAGTTAATATTTATTGTATGATAAATATCATGCGTATTTTGTTTCATTTAATAAAAATTTTTTACAGAAATATACAGAATCGTATCGCAAAAACAGATACGAGACCCACCTGAAGGTGATACAATCCGGCCACAAAATGTAGAACAAATTGAAGTCAAACCAACGATGAATGCTGAGGGAGTGCGTAAGCAGTGCTGCCAGTGACTCACCTTGTTGCTTAAAATGTGTGTACACATATATACAGTATGAATATCATGGAAGTACAGTTGGGGATAATATTTAATTTCTAACGGAAAAGATTTCGTTTATGATGCAGTAAAAAGTTTCTGGAATGATCATTTGTATAATAGGATAGATTTAATATAAGAAAACTATATGGTTAGTTTATTATATTATTAATGTTAACTTGATTGTAAATTGAGTTAATTTTAACATATATCAAAATTAAATATTACTAAAGACACTTCTATCATGTTTCTTTCATTCCAATAATTTGTATTCTACTGTTGACCGTATTGAAGTTGTTTATTTCTATCATGTACATATAACTTACAAAGTCTGTTATACATAATTTTCTAAAATAATTAAAATAATTAACTAAATTAAAATATTTAAGTTTTTTTTCTTCAACGGATTGTGTTGCAGATTTAGAATCTACATAAGATATTTCAAAATAACTAAATGTCTTTTTAATATATTTTTTGATTAATTTAAAATTGACATTTTTTTCAATGGATATGTCAAGTCAATGTTTTTTTCGAATAACTAATGTTCGAAAATAAAAAATATTTATGAATCAAATTTCAAGAACAAATGAATAATAAAACTATACTCTTCAAATAATTTTAAGAATTTCAACGTGAGACTTACATATAAAAATACTGAAAATTGGAATATCGATAATAAGGATAAAGGATTTCTAGAGAAAGAAAACAAAATGAAGGAAATATTGACTTTCAATTGATTAAAGAATTTGTTGTTAAAAGGACACCCGATGACTTTCGAATATTCTATATCGTTAGATCACAAATGCTTTATAAAATATAAAAATCAGTTCGTGTTCAACAATAAATATGTATCAATAAATATGTTGCAAATTATTTTCTATAACAACTTACTTTTAAATTATTAAATACTTTAAAATATCTCAAGGTGGAATATCTTTAATACATTTGTGAAACTAATTTTTTGTATATATAATAATTTTTCCACTAATATTATTAGTACCATATTTGATTCAATATATAATTTTATATATATATATATACATATACGTATAGATAATATTTAAAAAATTTTGTGCTTTAATTTTTAATATGAGAGAAATCATTTCAGTTTTTCTTAATTATTATACATAGTAATTATAAAATATTTCAAAAATTCGAAATGAAAATAGATATCAAGCATTGATAGGATGATTCACGTATAATCTAGGTGATTTCTGACGTCATCATAAAGAAAGTTTACGTAAGCGTGGATGTGATTCCGAGTAATTACAGAATTATGTAATATTCGTAGATTCTAAGAAACGTATCTATGATTTCACATTATTAATTAATTTATTTAAACTTTTTTTTGCGTAATAGTAATAGTAATAATAAATATATTTTTGCATATAAATATAAAGAGAGAACGCAACAAAAAACAAACTTTATTGTTTTATTCGTTGTTTGTACAATTTTTTTGTTTTCCTTTAAGACAACCATATATCCGTAATTCTTTAGAATCATTAAGCCATGCTTATGTTTTTTTTTCTACTAAGAAAATTTCTTCAGGAATTAGATTCTAAAGTTATGCTATGTGACATATTGAGTACTTTGTATACTTGTTTATTATTATCCAAATATTTTTAAGCTTTTTCAAGTACATTTTTTTTCAAAACTGATAATTCCATAATATATACACAATATTAATTTAATTATATTGAGTTACTTAATCTCATACTTCAATAAAGACATATGTTAATATTTGTACATTTAAATACATTTAAAATATGTCTGAGAAGATACATAAAATACATGAAAAAGATATGTTAATGATCGAGTCAATAATAAAAGAGTATTATATAT